AAGCCTTTGACAAAATTCAACACCCTTACATGATAAAGGTCTTGGAGAGGTCAGGGATAACAGGAACATACCTAAACATAATAAGAGCAATATACAGCAAACCAACAGCTAACATGAAACTTAAGGGAGAGAAACTTAAGCCAATTCCTCTAAAATCAGGAACAAGACAAGGCTGCCCTCTCTCTCCATATCTCTTCAATATCATACTAGAAGTTCTAGCTAATGCTATAAGACAACAAAAGGAGATCAAGGGGATCCAAATTGGAAGGGAAGAAGTCAAACTCTTTCTATTTGCAGATGATATGATAGTTTACATAAGCAACCCAATAAAGTCTACCAGGGAACTCCTACAGCTGATAAACACCTTCAGCAAACTAGCAGGATGCAAGATAAACTCAAAAAAATCAGTATCCCTAATTATTTTCAAACGACAAAGAGACAGAGATAGAAATCAGAGAAACATCACCCTTTACAATAGCAACAAGCAACATAAAGTATCTTGGTGTAACACTTTCCAAACAAGTAAAAGATCTATATAATAAGAGCTTTGTTGCTCTAAAGAAAGAAATTAAAAAGATACCAGAAAATGGAAAGATCTCGCATGCTGTTGGATAGGTAGGATAAACATAGTAAAAATGGCAATCTTGCCAACAGCAATCTACAGATTCAATGCAATTCCCATTACAATCCCACCACAATTCTTCACCGACCTTGAAAGGATAATAATTAATTATATATGGAAAAACAAAAGATCCAGGACAGCCAAAACAACCCTATACAATAAAAGAACTTCAGTAGGCATCACCATTCCTGCCTTTAATCGTTACTACAGAGCTATAGTTCTGAAAACAGCCTCGTATTGGCATAAAAATAGACAGGTAGACCAATGGAATTGAATTAAAAATCCTGGTATTAACCCACACACCTATGAACACCTGATTTTTGGCAAAACAGCTAAAATCATACAATATGACAAGGGCAGCATCTTCAACAAATGGTACTGGCACAATTTGATGAGGGTGTGTAGAAGATTTTAGATAGACCCATGTCTGTCGCCATGCACAAAACTCAAGTCCAAATGGATCAAAGACCTCAACATCAATCCAGCCACATTGAACCTCTTAGAAGAGAAAGTAGGAGGTACCCTTGACCAAATTGGTATAGGCGACCGCTTCCTGTACATAAACCCGGGACACAGACACTGAGAGAAACAATTAATAAATTGGACCTCTTCAAACTTAGAAGCTTCTGTAAGGCTAAGGACACTGTGGACAAGACCAAAAGGCAGCCCACAGACTGGGAAAAGATTTCACCAATCCCGACAAAGTGCTGATCTCCAATATATAAAAAGAACTCAAGAAACTAGTCAACAAAACATCAAATAACCCGATTAAAAAAATGGGGTACAGAACTGAAGAAAGAATTCTCAATAGAGGAAATCAAAAAGGCTGAAAGACACTTAAGAAAATGCTCCGCATCTTTAGCTATCAGGGAAATGCAAATCAAAACAACTTTGAGATACCATCTTACTCCTGCCAGAATGGCTAAAATTAGAAACACAGATGATGACTCATGTTGGAGAGGATGTGGAGAAAGTTGAACACTCCTCCACTGCTGGTGGGAGTGCAAACTCGTAAAGCCATTTTGGAGATCAGTATGGTAGTTCCTCTAGAAAATGGGAATTAATCTACCACAGGACCCCACAATCCCACTCTTAGGCATATACCCAAAGGATTCACATCCATGCAACAAAGACATCTGTTCAACTATGTTCATAGCAGCACTATTTGTAATAGCAAGAACCTTGAAGCAACCTAGATGCCCCTCAATTGAAAAATGGTTAATGAAGATGTGGCACATCTACACAATGGAATACTACTCTGCAGAAAAAAATAATGGTATCTTGAAATTCGCAGGCAATTGGATGACACTTGGAGAAACCATCCTGAATGAGGTAACACAGTCACAAAAAGAGGAACACAGTATGTACTCACTCATATATGGATTTTAGACCTAGATCAAAGGATCACCAGCCTATAATTCACATCACTAGAGGAACTAGGATACAAGGTATATTCTAAGAGATTCATATAAAGTCCCTCACAGAACTGGTAAGGGTAAAGTCCCCCAGAGCTCAGGGTAAGTGGGGGGGGGGTCAGCAAATTGAAAGAGAAGTAGGAGAAAACTGGGAGGAAAGGAAAACATGTGCGACCAGGAAGATTTAGCCTGGTTAGGAATAGAAGACAGGAAAGAGAGAGGGAGACAGAGAGAGAGAACATAAATGAAGGAGCCAATATTGGTTTGAAGATAAAATTGAACACAAAGAAATGTCTAGAGAACTACTAGAGTGCTGCCAACTAACAATTTGAGCTTCCGTGGAAAGGCTACCATAAATGCCCTTCCTGGAGATTGAGATCAACAACTAACTTTTCATCCATGGAACCCTCAACTAATACCTGTTGGAAAAAGGAGCAAACACCCATACATATACACTGAGACGAAGTAGAACTCAGATGCAGATGGAGAGGACAAGACCAGGCGGCTGAAACACAAAGAGACAGCTTCCCTGAACAAGGAGTAGCTAAAGGGCCACCAGACTGATAGCTGGGAAGCCAGCATGGGACTGACTCAGGCCCCCATGGATATGGGTCTCAGCCAGAAGGACTGAGCAGTCTATGGGGCCTCAGATAGTGGAGCCAGGATGTATCCCTGGTGCACAAAAGGACTTTTTGAACACATCCCCCATGGATTATAACTACTTTAATCTAGAGACTGGAGAGAAGCCCTGGTCCCTACTTCAAATGACCTGTCAGACCTATATGACCCCAACTGCATGACATTCCCCTACACATGGAATTGGGTGGGGGGATGGGAGGGGAGGGTGGTTAGAGTTCATGTGAGAGGGCTGTTAGGGTAAAAGGGAGGGAAGGAAGGAGGGAGGGAGAGGGAACTGTGATCGACATGTAAACTAATAAAGTAAATTATAAAAAATAATTCTTTGACTCCAAAATTTAAGTTGAAGGACAAGTTACTGGGGAAAAGGATTTCTATTTTTGTTTCCACAGAAAATGAAAAGATGTGAATTCCTTCCAGACTAATGTTGTTTGATCAAGCCAGACCACCTGAAACAGAGTACCAGGTGATCTTACATTCAAAACAGCTGGACAAAGCATCCTTACAGTCTACAACCAGGATTTCTGAATCTTCTTCGAATCCCCCATGACAGTGCCCCTAACCTGCAGGAAGTAGTTTGGAAAGAATGATGCCCAAATTCCCAAATATTGTCTATAAATATTTGTTTTCATTTAAATGGATTTGGTTATATAAAATAAAAATAATAAGTAAATTAAAAAAAAAACAAGCTGGGGAGTAAGGAGTTTATTTGGCTTACACTTCCATGTTGCTGTTCATCATCAAAGAAAGACAGGACTAGAATTCAAACAGGGCATGAATCTGGAGACAGGCTGATGCAGAGGCCATGTAAAAGTGCTGGTTGCTTCCAATGGCCTGCTCAGCCTACTTTCTTATAGAATCAGAGACAATCAGCCCAGGGATGGCTTCATTCACAATGGGCTGAGCCCTCCCCCATTGATCAGTAATTTAAAAATTATCTTACAGCTGGATTTCATGGAGGCATTTCTTCAATTGAGGCTCCTTTCTGATGAGTCTAGCTCAGGTCAAAGGGACCCAAAACAAGCCAGTACAATTGACCCCTTATGAACATGACACACAGACAGATATGTGGTAAGCCACAATGTTTCCTTTTTTATTCATTACCAAGATCTCACTTTAAAAACACAAATAAATTTAAAAGTCCCACAGTCTTTACAAACTCAAACAAATTAAAATTTCTGTCCCTTTAAAATAGTCAATCTCATAAAAAAACCAAAAGATGAAAAACAGAATAGTCAATCTCTTTTAAAGGGCCAGGCAGTTAAAATTCAATGTCTCTCTACTGTCGGCTCCAGTAAACTACTTTCTCACTGCAAGAGGGAAAATTCAGGGCATAGTCACAACCGATCAAATAAAAGCAAAACCAAAATACCACTGTCCAATTTCTGGGATATATTCAGGATCATTTGGACTCGTCCAATGACCTTGAGAATCTTCTCCACATTGGCCCCTGCAGCACACACAGCTTGTCTTGTAGCCTCCGACTGGCTTCCCTCCACTGCTCCTGAACCTCCCTTCACTCATGTCCTCTTGTGGTCTCTCATAGTTTCAAATCTCAGCTGTTCTCCATGACACCTTCATCCTAGTAGCACCTGGTTGATTCCTACACATTACAAGTTTCAGTGGACAACACTAGGTAAAACCATGATCGCCTCTAGAACATAGCTTCTATATGATCTCAGGAACCATTTTGCAGAGGATTTCACCTAAGTGATGCTAGCCTCTTCTCAATTACTGCTAAGTTCTTAGCTTCAGTTGAACAGTATCAATTGTTCAAAAAACACAAAATGTTTTGCTGTTGTGGTGTTGATCTTATTAATGTGGCTGACTCTTGAGCCCCAGTTTACCAGAATATTAATTCAAAATAGCAAATGGCCTTGATAGTCTTTTGTTGTTGTTGTTGTTTTTTCACGTTTTATCGCATCTGTATTTACCTTTTAAAGCAGAATGTGATTGGGCACTATATTTCCATTCACAAGCCTTGCTGAGTTACAAGACCTAGGGAAGCTCAGGGTTTTGTTCTCAGTACTCTGAAAACAAGCCACATGGGAAATTCCTCAGTTGTTTTAGCTTATGTATTTACTTCTAAGATTAATACATGCAGAATTAACTACAAGGAATGAAAAATTTTAAGATGAAACTTTTTCCATCTTAATTTTTTTTTCTTTTTAAACATGAAGCTATCTTAGATTACTTCCAAGTGACAAATTATTTGGTCTACTAAAGAATCCACCTCAACAGCTAAACACTTCAGACCACAAAGTTAATAGGTATGTCTGACAACAAATGTTCTACCAATCTGTTGAACCAAACCTGTAAGTATCACAGTATCACAAGTAGAATTTTATCTTCCCATTAGTTTTCATGCCACACAGATGTTTTAAATGTTAACAAAAATAAATAAAAATCCTCGAAAATATATTATCAGAAGGAATGAAAGTAAGCATCAAACATATAGCTTCTGGGTGAAGCTTAGTCTACTTCTTCCATGCGTGATGTGTCGTCATCTCCTTCCAGGGGTGGCATTTCTTCAGAAACAGCAGCACTGGTATCATCCACAGTAGGATCATCTTCATCAATACCTAGACCAATGTTGATCATCCTGTAGATCCTGTTGGCATGTGTCTGGGTATCTTCCAGACTGAAATCAGAAGACAGGAGTGCAGTTTCATATAGCAAGATCACCAGATCCTTCACAGACTTGTCATTCTTGTCAGCCTCTGCCTTTTGCCTCAGGGTTTCAATGATGGAGTGGTCAGGGTTTATCTCCAGGTGATTCTTTGCTGCCATGTAACCCATCATTGAGTTGTCTCTGAGGGCTTGAACTTTCATGATTCTCTCCATGTTTGCTGTCCACCCATAAGTGCTTGTGACAATACAGCATGGGGATGTCAACAATCGGTTTGATACAACCACCTTCTCAACTTTTTTCTCCAATATATCTTTCATAATTTTGCAGAGGTTTTCAAATTTTGTCTTTTTCTCTTCCTGTTTGTTTTTATCCTCTTCATCTTCTGGAAATTCCAGTCCTTCTTTGGTAACAGACACCAAGGTCTTGCCTTCAAACTCCTTCAGCTGTTGTACACAGTACTCATCAATAGGCTCAATCATATAGATCACTTCCAAGCCATGCTTTCGGAGATGCTCCACAAAGGCAGAATTAGCAACTTGGTCCTTGGTCTCACCTGTGATGAAGTAGATGTGCTTCTGGTCAAGTCAGCCTTGGTCATTCGAATCCAGTATCGACAATGATAAGGGTTCGATCTTGTTTGTTGGGAATAAGATTAATGTGCAGCTCCTTCCCAGAGTCTAACTTACTGGGGTCTGTCAGGTTCTCGTATCTGATCTTGTCCAGAGCATCTGATGAATGTGAAATGAGCTCCCTCAAAAATATCTCTTTGTTTGAATAGAAAGTGTTGATGATCAAGGACATCAACTGGGCAATTTCTGCCTGAAAGGCAAAGGTCTCGACCTCTTCCTCCTCCATTGGTTGGTCTTGGGTCTGGGTTTCCTCAGGCATCTTCGCTGAGTCGGCCTTGATAGTCTTTAATATCCTCCTGAAACTTCATGATCCATGCCACAATCTTATGCATTGCTTTCAAAATTCTTACCTTCCAAACTTCTAAAGAGCATCCCACTGAGGTCTCAACACTCAATGGCTTTGATATTGCAAAGTTCCAAACTCCTTGAACAATCTTTTTCAAAATATGGTCAGATCTATCAGAGAAATACCCCAGTATGGTGGCACTAACATCTTTCTGTATTAGAGTTTCTATTTTGGTGAAGAGATAGCATAATCATGGCAAGTCTTATAAAGAAATCATTTTATTTGGGTTGGCTTAAAATTCAGAGGTTTAGTCTATTAACACTATGGTGGGAAACAAGATGGTATGTAAACAGACATGGTGCTGGAGAAGGAGCTGGGGTTCGACATCTTGATCTACAGGTAACAGGAATAGAGACTAAGACACAGTATGACTGGCTAGAGCCTCTGAGACCTCAAAGCCAGCCATGAGTGACATATTTCCTCTAATAATGTCACATGTATTCCAACAAGGCAACACCTCCTAATAGAGCCATTCACTATGAACGTATGGAGCCATTTTTATTCAATTCAACTACAATAGCAACAAATCAGAGACAAACCTGCAAGCCTCTGTTGCTGGGAACTATAGTTCCATTTTAACATCATGACACATTACAGAGAAGAACGATGCAGATACCAAAAAGGAAAACTGACTTGCACTCTCAAATGCAACCATCAGAACGTGGAGTGGAGTCAGTTTACATGTGAGGAATAAGTAAATAAAAAGAAGTGTGCATGAGGCAAGCTTCTAATTAATGGGTGCCTTTCTGTTCAGAGCCAGTGAGCTGGAAGGAAGAAAATTACTTGGACTTTGTAGGACATAAGCATCACTGCTAATAAAAGAATTCCCAATGTTCCTGGAGCTCAAGCATGTCCTCTGACAATAGTTTACACGGACTCCATTGCAAACATTTTTTATTGTTAAAAAATTTTCAGAGTCTCCATGGTTGAAGATGCTGCAGTTGCTTAATATGAAAAAAGGTTCCAATAACCTTCATTGACCTTAATTAATAGCACATATTTAATGAAAACCATCCTCTTCCCCGCAGACCTAAGACTATTTCCAAAGTCAGTGTCTGATACTTAAGATGAACATAAACCTCTAATTATTGTAAATTGGTTCACATCAAATAAAAGCACAGGCAATTGCTCAGATCTGGCTCTGACATCCTATTTTTATCCCTATCTCAGCCCTGTTCCCAAATGGAAAGCCTACAAATAAAAGCTATTATGAAACTAGGAGTTGCTTTATTCAATAATTTGCTCATTTGCTTATATAATACCTTTATAGCATATAAGATTTTACTCTATATCCAAGGAATAAAACATGTAAATCCTTACCTCAAATTATTCATCCTAAATTTTAGGAAATGGGATATGCTAGTTCTAATAAAGCAGGGAGACCAGGGTCTCAGATTCAAAACTGGAAATATTTATAGCATACAAAGTATGGATGAGGTCCTGGTTCATCTGATAGTCAACCAGCTCTCATATGTATTTCAAAGTACCTATCCTTGACTTTTTTTATTTACATGTTCTTTGCCCCATTTCCCAATTACTTTCAATATCCACTCTTGATCTTGTGAACACCTTAACATCATGAAGGACAATATCCTCTACAGAACATCATTATGGTGCTCAATTTGTACTAACCTCAAGGTCATTTATTCTGGACTGGATCTACCTTGTAACCTTCCTTAACACAGTCTCTTACAAGGCTGTTGTTAATAGACTTGAAATTTTGCTTCTAGTAACCAAGAGGCCGTACTTTTTAGCGTGATTTTGTATGCTTGAAATGTTTATCTAAATGGAGATAGTGCATTCACCTCCTGCTTTCAAAGCAAAATTTAATTCCAAACTGTTGTCTTAATGATTTCTTAAAGTGTGCTGTGAACTGGCACTCTGTTGATACACATTTCTATTGAAATTCTCTTGTTCTTGTCTGGAAGGAAAAAAAGGTTTACAGAAGCTAAATCAAATACAAGCCAATCTCATTAATTCAGATACCAGTAATTCAGACCAGACTCAATTATAATTTTGCGTTATCTAGAAGCAATACAAAATTCTAAGTAAAGTAACTATAGAAATAAGGTATGGGGGAGAGAAAATGTTTTATCTGATTCAAACATAGTATTCTTAAATACATCTATGTATTCTAGAAGAGCCACCAACACATAAAAAAATTATGGCATGTTTGTTCATTGGGGCTAAAGTCTGCTTATCATAAAATATTTTTCTATATGGCAATTATTTTTCTTGTTGTGGTGTCAAAAATATAATGCTCTATTTTAAAATATTTAACATTCTCAGTTGCTTTCATAATGCAAAGTATAAGAGAAGTATTACACACACACATACACACACACAGGTGTACTTTAAAATACAATGAAGAAAGCGTGGTTTTCATATTTACTGGTGGTAGGATTAAAGGTCAATTTTATACTCTGTTGAAATGTGCAAGAATTTTATGCAATGAATTCTCATTTTTATCATCAATATAACAACACACAAAAAGGAACCACTAGTGGTTTTAAGTGGTTAGTCTATATTTTTCACACAAATTCTATATCATATTAGATATAGGTCATATTCTGCATCCATCTTTTACAAGTAAAACAGACTTGATGGTAATTTGAGAAAATTACTTAAATTCCTATTTCCAATTTGTATCCTCTTGATTTCCTTTTGTTGTCTTCCTGTTACAGCTAGAACTTCAAGGACTATATTGATGTGATATGGATAGTGGACAACTTTGTCTTAAAAATCCATCCAAAATTAATCTCTTCTTCCTTACAGAAACCAACTTGACCCTAATTTCAATTTAGCATGATAAGTAAGCCAAGTTTATTCCTTCTAGATCAGGAGTGACCTGGTGTAGTTTAATTTATATCATACAGGATTATGTTAAGATGTGCAGGAGGGACATACCCCTCTTCCCTCTGTGTTTTTCAGTGACTCCAAAATCTCTTTATAAAACTGAGGCAGTTCATATACAGCATTAGTGGACTGTGTGGTTACTCAGTTCTATTAAAAGTATAACTAGTCCTAAACATGGAAACTCATCTTGTCTACCTCATTACAGTTAAAATAACAATTTTCACATTATAATTATTATAGTTTTATTAATAGCTCATGAGTGCCAGGTGAAATTCCATGCAATAAAGATAAATATTATAATTTAACTGCAAATAATTCAAAGATTGATTTTCAAGAATATGAACAGATCGAGTTTTTACAGATGGTGCTCTATAGAGGTAAACATCAAAATTACCTTTACCCAACATCAGGCTCTTACCCTGAAAACTATACAGCACTGACTACTGCAGAGCTAGTAGTCAGAATGTCTTCTGATTGCTTTGAATACCTGTACAGTCAGTGTGGTAACACTAAAGGGGCCTTAGATTTTGCTCATTGTTCTTGAAGTTCGGTGTTTCATTCATCACATGAGCATGAAGTTGATTGGATCCTGATGATTTCCCTGGCCACTATAACATTTATTTTGATTCAGAAAAAACTCAATATTAAGAAAGAACAGTGTGGATGTGGGGATTATAGGCTGGTGATACTTTGCTCTGTGTCTAATATCCATGTATGAGTGAGTACATACCATGTTTGACTTTTTGTGACTGGGTTACCACACTCATGTTGGTTCCTTCTAGTTCCATCCATTTGCCTGCAAATTTCAAGATTCCACTGCCCCTTCTCCACTGAGTAATACTCAGTTGTGTATATTTGCCACAGTTTCTTTATCTGTTTGTCAGTTGAGGGGCATCTAGGTTGTGTCCAGATTCTGTCTATTACAAAAAATGCTGATATAAACATAGCTGAACAGATGTCCTCTTTGTATGAATGTGCATCCTTTGGGTAAGAATGGAATTGCTGGATCTTGAGGTAGACCAATTCCCAATTTTCTGAGGAACTTCTGCACTGATTTGCAAATGGCTGTACAAGTTTGCACTCCCATCAGCAGTGGAGGAGATTTCCCCTTTCTCCATACCCTCTCCAGAATAAGCTGTTCTTTTTTGGTTTTTCCATTCTGATAGGTGTAAGATGGTATCTCAGAGTTGTTTTGATTTGCATTTCCTTGATGGCAAAGGATGTTGATCAACTTCTTAAGTGGTTTTCAGCCATTTTGGATACCTCTATTGAGAATTCTCTATTTAGTAATGTAACTCACTTTTTAATTGGATTGTTTGGTTTTTGGGTGACTAGCATCTTGAGTTCTTTGTGTATTTTGGCAATTAGCCCTATATCAGATGTGGGGTTAGTAAAGATCTTTTCCCATTTGGTGGGCTACTGTTTTGTCTTATTGATTGTATCCTTTGTCTTATAGAAGCTGTACCCTAAAAGAGACATATATGGTTCCCCAGAGAAAGGAAAAGGGACAAGGTCTCCTGAGCAAATTGGCTTGGGGGGAGGAGTAGGGAGTTAGAAAAAAGAAAAGGGGAGGAGTGGGGAAGAACACATGAGAGACCAGGAAGATTAAGTCAAGGGAAGAATAGAGGAGAGAAAGAAAAGAGATACCATAATAGAGGGAGCCTTTATAAGTTTAAAGAGAAATCTCACACTAGGGAAATGTACAGAGATATACTAGGATGACCACAACTAAGAAGCTAAGCAATAGGGGAGAAGCTACACTAAATGCCCTTCCTCTATAATGAGATTGATGGGTACGTTATATACCATCATAGAGTCTTCCTCCAGTAGCTGATGGGGACAGAAGCAGATACCCACAGCTAAACACTGAGTGGAACTCCTGGAATCCAATTGAAGAGAGGGAGGAATGATGAGCTAAAGGGTCATGACCAGGCTGGGGAAACCCACAGCAACAGCTGACTGAACAAGTGGGAGCTCATAGACCCTTGGCTGACAGCTTGGAAATTAGCATAAAACAGATACAGGCCCCCTGCATGTGGGTTTCAGGGGCCCCTGGT